GTGCTGAAGTGGTTGTTTACTTGGCCAAGATTCATTCACTTTAATCTAATGATGTTGGATGGCATGTTGCAGGCCTCCGGTATTTTGTTCAGTAAGCTTATAACCACCAGCTGCTAAAAAGAAATCTACCTTAGCAAGACCCTAGGTGTTCATGGGGTGATATAAGTGAATGGAAACAACAGAAGGGCCTTACCTTGGAAAAGAATCACTTTTTACAATATCTCACTTTTGTATTACTATGAACACACTGCCAACAATATTGACCATTTTTAAAAGGACACCATAGATATTGAAGTGGTCACCTATAAAGATACACCTGTAAATTAGAATTATGACAGGTGAAAAGCCAGACAAGACTGTAAGCCATGTTTGAGGATGGATCTACATGATGTATACCCCGTTGTGACAGGTTGTAAATTTAACCTGCTAAACTGTTTGTCCAGATAGACTTGAAGTGTTTGATCAACAATATGATCTGTTTGTAACAAATAGATCTCTACAGGTTTGGCAACAAACAGTTCCCTCCAATATTTGTACGATATGTAGCAGTAGTAAACAAACAGGCATTTCCCGTCAATATTTTAATGATATGTAGCAGTGTTAAACATCCAGACAGTTCCCTTCAATATTTTAATGATATGTAGCAGTGTTAAACATCCAGACAGTTCCCTTCAATATTTTAATGATATGTAGCAGTGTTAAACATCCAGACAGTTCCCTTCAATATTTTAATGATATGTAGCAGTGTTAAACATACAGTTCCCGTCAATATTTTAATGATATGTAGCAGTGTTAAACATCCAGACAGTTCCCTTCAATATTTTAATGATATGTAGCAGTGTTAAACATACTGGCAGTTCCCTCCAACATGTGTATGATGTGTAGCAGTGTTAAACATACTGGCAGTTCCCTCCATCATGTGTATGATGTGTAGCAGTGTTAAACATACTGGCAGTTCCCTCATGTAGCAGTATTAAACACACAGACAATTCCCTGCAATATGATACATATATGTAGCAATAGGGAAGTTAATTGCTATTTAAGTCTTCATTATTTTTAATTCAATATGAAATTATATTTTCCATTAAATCTAATAATTATATAATTGTCTGTCTTTTGGGAGGGAAAAACAGCCATTTATTAGCATACTGTGCTTTGAAAATACAACAGTAGACAGGATAATCATATTATTCTGGCAGTAACAGATTGCAGGGAAAAAACAAACAGAAAGAAATGTTTTAGGATTGTTTTCATTTCTTGAGAATGTTAAATTTATAATGCACAAGTAGTTAATTTATCTTAGAACAGATTGCTTTTCTTTTCATATAATGTTGTTTCATGCTTCAATCCCTAGGCAAACATCTGCCATAATTAACTTAAACAACCTTAATTTTAGTACAAGGGCACCCAAATAAACTGACAAATTTTTAATTTGCAAGCAGTCAAATATGACAGTGTACCTTTTATCATAATCATGATTTCATATTGGAAGAGATGTCAAATATTGAATCATTGTCTTTTTCAGTAAGTATCTTGGAGTGTTGAATGTGTAGTGCCAGTCTATTTGGCTCTTTTTCACATACTGACCTGCAAGTCATTGACCAACACATCCTGTTGTCCTTTATCAACACTAGTACCCAACGTTATCAAGTATCATTAGTTTAACACAGGATATCCCTGATAAATTACCTCTACACATTACTTGTAATTGAACTATAATTTGTTATAAACATCCTGCTTTACTCTGCAGCATTTTTGTAAATGTTTGGAATCAAAGTGCTAGACCTGTCTCAACATAGGGTTTTATAATCAGGACTATAATTGAAAAAAAGTCTCCCAATAGTCCCTACTCAAAGCTGAACCAGTCTCTCTATAGTCCCTACTCAAAGCTGAACCAGTCTCTCTATAGTCCCTACTCAAAGCTGAACCAGTCTCTCTATAGTCCCTACTCAAAGCTGAACCAGTCTCTCTATAGTCCCTACTCAAAGCTGAACCAGTCTCTCTATAGTCCCTACTCAAAGCTGAACCAGTCTCTCTATAGTCCCTACTCAGGACTACATAACCAGTCTCTCTATAGTCCCTACTCAAAGCTGAACCAGTCTCTCTATAGTCCCTACTCAAAGCTGAACCAGTCTCTCTATAGTCCCTACTCAGGGCTACATAACCAGTCTCTCTATAGTCCCTACTCAGGACTACATAACCAGTCTCTCTATAGTCCCTACTCAGGGCTACATAACCAGTCTCTCTATAGTCCCTACTCAAAGCTGAACCAGCCTCTCTATAGTCCCTACTCAGGACTACATAACCAGTCTCTCTATAGTCCCGATTCAGGGCTACATAACAAGTCTCTATAGTCCCTACTCAGGACTACATAACCAGTCTCTATAGTCCCTACTCAGGGCTACATAACAAGTCTCTCTATAGTCCCTACTCAGGGCTACATAACCAGTCTCTCTCTATAGTCCCTACTCGGGGCTACATAACCAGTCTCTTTATAGTCCCTACTCAGGGCTACATAACCAGTCTCTCTATAGTCCCTACTCAGGGCTACATAACCAGTCTCCCTATAGTCCCTACTCGGGGCTACATAACCAGTCTCCCTATAGTCCCTACTCAGGGCTACATAACCAGTCTCTCTATAATACTGATTTTTAGTTAAGAACTTTAGAATCTGTTGGGTCTAAAGAAGAACCTTATTTGTCCCTATTTACGTCCCAATGAGGATGAAAGAACTAGTCCTCATGTAAAGGCTATTTAGGACCAAATAATACATCCCCATTTCACTGTGCATCTTGTATCTGTGGTCTTTGATATAAAGATGGAGAAGATTACAGTTGCCAGAACAAGTAAGGTATGGGGTCAAACAAGATAATGATGTAGAGGCCTTATATAGATAGCATTGTTACACCAACTGTATAAAAGCTTTCTCAGATATTTTTGTTCTTTTGAAATTTTTGTTATATATAGCCATCCCAAAATTTAGGTCATTCTGTAACGGGTCAGCAAACAGATATAGTGATAAAATATGTTAATTACCTACCCAGGTATACCATATATATCTGGAGATTTAGGATGAAGATGTGCGTGTCTATCTCCTTTTGTCATCTTTCATTTCAAAAACACAAAAAAATACCAGGTAATATCTGGAAATCCTCAAGGTCATTATTGTTGTCTCCAATAAAATGGTGAATTATCAGATAGAGACAGATCTTCACCAAGATACATATTTTTCTACATATTTATTTTTTTTTTTTTTTTTTGTTACTTTTTATTTTTCAATATTTTTTTAATATAGCATGTAGCAACACATCATCACACAACCTCACAATCATATGTAATCAATATATGTATATTTATAGGTAGCAGCATGTTATTTGCAACAAAGGAAGCAGTGTGTCTGGTAGACTAAATATCATTGTATCAAAGCTGCTACAGTGCATTCTAATTTCTAAACTTACATACAAGTGACTTCCTAAATCCAAGAAAGGAAATCCCCTTTGATTTTTGTAATTACAAATTTCTGAATAAAATGCTGTATGAATTATTTCTTTCATTTCAGTTGTGTTATTTATATCTCAAACCAATGGGAGCCAATTTTCATAGGAACATAGGATCTCATTAGAGAAGGTCATCTTTCCAATTTTCACAATGTATAGTGTATAGTTCCCTTTTTGCTAAGAACCTAAGAGCAAAACCACACAGAGATCATGTCTGACGATAGCTCATTTGATTAGAGAATTGGTTAACATAATCTCAGGTGAAAATTAGAGGTATTTGATTTGACACTCTCTTCCCATGATGGTTCGTACTTGTTGAAGGAAGCTGAAAAATGGGCAGTCTATGCTGTCAGTTTGTGTGCTTAAGCAAGAAACTCTTAATTGTTTTGGATGGCTGCTGCAGGACTTCCTGTTTATGGTTCATTGAGGTAGCCACAATTTAGTACAAGGAGACTTCCATTTCAAAATGTCATCGCTGTTCACAGGGCACAAAACCAACAAGCAAACAAAACCAAGGGTTTTGATTCTGATAGAAATAAAAGATACCAGGGCTCTCACACCCCATTTTGGGCCCGGGGCCCTTAGAATTGGGAAAAATAATGGTGTTTTCCTTAGAATTGGGAGAACTTGGGGTCTAAATTGGGAAAAAAAGATACTATTTTGCATTGGGAATGGGGCCGAAAATCGGCCCCAAATCTGGCAGATTGAGAGCCCTGGATACATATAAGGACAAGATCTTATCTTCCATGTAAATCAAGTCTGGTCTTGGTAAATATGTGATGAAATCTTCACAGATATGATAGGTAGATTTTTAAATATGCTAATTGTGTTCCAGCACAGCCATATGTAAATAGAGGAAGGTTTAGTATATACCTGGCGGATGTAACATGATACAGACTGTGACCTTAGATCTGACCTACTCCATACAACATAGTTACTAGTACATCTATTTCTTATGTGGTCCACTGAAAATTATCACCATCAACACACCAAAAATGGCTTATAATATTTAATATTTGTTTAGAAGATATTTTACTGTTCTCTGCAGTATTGTTTCTAAGGAATGATGATATTTGTTTTTATACAGCTGTTTTAGTACTGGATAATTGGGGTTTTTTTTAGGTAAAAATCCTTAAAATGTCAGATAGTTATGTATACATATAGTGCAATCCTTTCTTAATAGAATGATATTGTTAAATGACGTCATATTAGTAGTTCCGAGCAGTATGATTATTGTTGTTAAATTTGAACAAAAAGTGAATGCATAGTTGTTAGTGACCTACATATTTCTAATTTTAGACAGGATCATCTTTATTGTACTATGGTGATATAAAAACCACAACTGGAATGTCACCTATTTTCAATTTCTTTGTATGCTTAGTTATTTGATATCTTCCTGTTCTTTTTGTTTTCATTCTGTTGATCTTTAATGTTTTGTACATTTATTTTACTTCAATATTACTTCAAAAAGTAGCTATTATATTGTGTCTTTTGTCTTTACAGAAATGGTCTAAGATGACGTTGTTCCATCATTGCCTGAGAGTGGTTGCCACGGTGATGTGGCTGGGCGTTTCCTGGTCCAGTGGTGAGGAGAGCCCTCCCATTCATCACCTGGTGTTGTTGGACAACCTTCCACCTGAATTCAACCACACCTCAAACCCAGAAATCGTCATCCGTTCAAACTACAGTGTAAGTTTTGCAAATATATGTTTATAATGAATTAAACTGAGGGATTCAGCATGTTACTTTGTCTCACAGTCACTGGATAGGCTTATTACAGGTTGGTTATTCTGAAAAAAAAATAATGGGCTTATTACCGGAGATTTTGCATGATATCTTACTGACATTGCATTCATGTTATTAACGCAGAACCCTGTTTGATTTGAGAAAGAGAAGACACAGCACATTGCATTTCCTGTCTAGGATGTAATGATAACAGAAAACCTCATCATATATAATAGCTGAGATTTCATTTTTGCTGTCTGGAAAGGAGAAGACTTCTGCATGGCACTTCTAGATCTATGCATTCCTATGAATAACAAACTAACTGAAAATATTCTAATATTCTGTACTTAATTCAAATTTTGCTGTCGCTGCCCGAAGTGACTTTCAGGTTGGTCCTCTGCACTTGATGCAGATCGGAGCTCATGCCTGTAGTGCTCGCTCTGATATAAGGATTATTTATGACTGGTGGATGCTTATGATATTGGAATGTTAACATTTATCGCTGTAATCTATCATATGTAATGAGTTGAAACTTTGTATCGAATATTTGCTAAGAAATATGATCCAATATTCAGTAATACGGCAAGAAGAACGACTGTTTATGTGTTCACTGCGTCACTTGTGGGTAATTTATCACTCATTCATAACCTCATTTTCAGTTACATGCACTAGTTATACATATTCCTGATTTTTTGGATGATAAACTGTACTTAATTTGACATATTTAATAGCTTTTGATTTTTTTTATTCTGTTTTTCTCCTCATCAATGCATCAGAAATCGAAAGTAGAATCTGAGTTTGCCATATCGTTGTTAGTGTAAACAATCTGGCTTAATCAGCCAATTTCCAAGTTTTTAATTAGGTCTGAGACCAAGTCTGAGGGTGACCTATTGCGATCCAGTTTTGCTTGGCGTTGTGCTTTGTAAACTTTTAACATTCTTAACTTCTTTAAGAAAACTCCAGTACTTGATTACAACGATATTTTGCAAAACCCTTCCAATATTGATAATTTAATCCTTAAAATGGCAAACATAATACAAAAACATTAAAGGATGACTACTATTGATATGAACTTAATTTTGAATGCAAAATATATTTCAGTTCTCGCATATTTTTACAATAGATATTGACTGGTGTTTCCTTTTCTTGTGTATTTCTCAGTGTCCTCCTCTACTTTATTTCTTGTCTTTTATTTTGAATCAAAAACTTAGGCTTTTAGTATTTTCATTTTTCAAAATTTCCGTAAGACTATTGGCTGCTATGACATTTAAAGGGAGCAAAATGCAGCTCAAACAGGCTGTGATTTGATGAGTAAAGACAAATTTAAGATATAAAATTGGTAAGCAGGACCAGACAATGCCGATGAAGATCTTCTGTAACTTTATTAGTTGACTAGTTTCGGCACACTAGGTATGGACTCGGTATTCCCTCAAGGAATCCGCTGTGGAGTGATACCGGACTTACCAGCCTTACCTCTTGGACATTGGATCTCTTTTTCTTCGTAAATTTAAGATATGTTATAGGGGGATTGGGATGTCATTTCAAAGGTGCCCCAATCCTGGTAGTGTCATCAAGATTTCTAATGTGAATCTAATTTGTTCTGATAGAACACAGTTACAGTGGAAATGGCTATATTTGGAAACCTAGATACTTGACTTTAGTGTGAAATAGAAATCTATTGTAAATTTGCTGTGTTAATGGTGAGTTATTTCTCATTACATTGTCTGACTGCAAATTAATCAAAATAACAATTTGACATATGTACCACTAAAAAGGCCATCATTCAATAAGGTGTTAGATATTTTAAGGGTAATTGTAAGCAATAGATAAAGGCAATGTCACAAAACTTTGTTTCTGTGTTTATGTTAAGTAAAAAGCCAAGGTCATATTCAGGGAGCCTATACTTGTAGTGGCTGGTTACTCAGTAACCTTACTGAACATGATGTGGAAGGACTGCCACATGCTATTAAGCTAGTTTGGGTTAAATGTTTTGACCAGGTACACAATAATTAGCTTCCTATAAAACACAAATCTCCCCTGATAGGTAGGACCATACACCTGTGAGGATGTAAAGTTTTATATTGTAATGACTTATTAATCACGTCCCCAATATACCCTTGGCATTCATTGTGTAATGAATGATATAGATTACTGTTTTATTGTGAATGTCATAAAGCATGGTTTCATCTTATCAAGTGAATATCATATTTTCCAGGTTATAAACCACGCTGGTTTGTCAGCTGCAGAGACACTTTTTTTTTTCATTCTGCCGATTTTTTCATTCTTCCAATTTTTTTTTTTTTTTTTTGTCCACATATAAGCAGCATCGGTATATAAGCTGATCACCATGGAAAAATGGACGGCTTATGATCCAGAAAATATTGTACTATAAAATAATTTTCACGGGGAATTTATTTTCTAAAGTCTAGTCACCTTTGAAGAATATTATCCTTAATTTTGCAGTATGACTTTAATACTTTGTCAAAAATTGGGCCTGTAAGATGCTTGGAGGAGAGGCTACCAAGTTTGTTCAAATTTTCTAGGTTTGGCTTGCTTTTTGTCAGATGACCGTTAAGGCCCATGGGCCTCTTGTTTCATTCTTCCAATTTTTTTTTTTGTTTTTTCCACATATAAGCAGCATCGGTATATAAGCTGATCACCATGGAAAAATGGACGGCTTATGATCCGGAAAATATTGTACTATAAAATAATTTTCACGGGGAATTTATTTTCTAAAGTCTAGTCACCTTTGAAGAATATTATCCTTAATTTTACAGTATGACTTTAATACTTTATCAAAAACTTTTTGTCACCTCTAAGAAATTAGATCCACAGTTACTGCATAATAAGCTGTACTTCATGGTTTTCCAGTAGAAAGGACAAGAGGTGAATAAACTTCTACAGAACTAAATTTGTCTTGCTAATGTAAAAAATTTGTTAACTCACTTTCTAATGTACCTTATCAGGGAAAAACCAGTAACACTTTTATTTCCTCCTTCAGTTCATGAACAATCATTAGAAATTCATCTTCATTATGGAAAAAGAATTTACTTCTCCATGACAATTTCCTGTTAAAGCATCCTTGCCATTAAATCATTGTAAGCAGTAAGAGACTTATCTACACCTTCAATGTTAACAGCTTCCGTGACTTTATAGTGTCTACAGGTTTCCACTTGGCACATTATTGTCTATTACATAAGACACACGTATTTGTCAAGGCACTGAAGTACACTTTTGACATGGCTTTCTGAAAAGGATTCTAAGGGCATTGTTACTTGGGCTCCGGGATTTAAGAATACTAAGATAATTTTAATTTTCACTTAACCTTTTAACAAGTTAGTTATTGGAGAGTTTGTGGAATTTTTAAACAGCACTTGCTTTTTCTCTCGGCATGTTTTAGGATTCTACATCACCCATTTTTTAACTAATTGGAAAAACAAAATGGCCAACAGGTGGTCATCTTCGATTTTAACAGTATTAGGTTGTTATCAATATTTCTGGAGATTTACTAGATGGATAAGTAGTTTCCTCTTTGTTCCCAGTTATTTTTTGACTGATTGAAAAAACAAAATGGCTTACATGTGGCCATCTTGGATTTTAACTGTGTTAGGTTGTTATTAATATTTTCTGTTTGTAATAAATGCATGTCTGGTTTGGCCCTAATGTCATCATGTTTTAGTATGTATCTGCTTGCTACATCAAATACATCATAGAACTCAAAACTGGTTGAATTAATTTGACCGAAGCCTGCTTAAGCACCATCTAAACAATGACCATCCAGATTGCTGAAGCTGTGTTCTATTTTTATTGACCAATGAAATCTAAGGATGACCAAATCCCTGCATATCTTGATGAGTATACATGTTCATGTGAAGGCCCTGCTCATGTACATGTATCTGGTGTAGATGATATAAACCTGCTTGTTCACATTTGTCTGTTTAAACCTTGCTTATATACATAAGCTAGTATAATAAGATGGTTCACAGCCCGCCTTTTTGCTTAACTGTGCAGTTTATAATGATTCCTTTGTTTCATAATTGATAATGTATTACACATAACTATCAATTTAAGAAGATTTATGATTACTATTTAATTGAAAATTTAATATCAAGTAGATAAAAATTTTAAGTTATTGTAATGGAATTTTGTACCTCTTGGGTACCAAACACAAACTCACAAATGAAAATTCAGCTGCTAGTTTTAAGTGTAAATCAGCCACTTGTGATATTCATGCATTTTCCTCATTAAAAGGTTTTAAAAGTCTTTTTATTTTGTTAGGAATGTAAACACATTTATTGAGTATTTTTCTTTTGGTGTGAATGTTTAATTTTGAAGTAAGACTATTTCACAATCTGTAAAAGGCAATTATCAAATTACGGGTACATAAGTAATGGAAAAGTTAAGGACCTTAATTTTGAGTTATATTGTGTTTTATCATACTGGCAGGAAAAAGAGAAAATTTACCTCTTGTACATATTATTTTAAACCAGGTTAATAAAACACCACATTGACCTCATTAGAGGTCCATAGCTGATCAATATCTTGAAAACCCCTTGATAGATTTAGTTCCTAGTTCCATACCTTACCTTGTGAAAAGGTTAGGGGTGAACTTAAGTAAAGTTAGGGTGAGAGGGGTATATTTGTTACGTTGAAATTATCCTAATTACCGTTACATTGTGTTTTGTGTGATGCTGGTTATATCTGTATAACAATATATTGTATCAAATGGAAACCTTTTTTAATGAGAAAGGAAGCAACCTTGAAAATGACTGACATAATATTTCTCAAACTCTATTTAAATTATTTCAAACTCTATTTGAATTATATAATTTTAGCAAGGAGACATATAATTACCGAGTGATAAGTATACCCAAAAGGCAAGCTGAGAGGTTGTTGATCTTCTTGTGTCTGTTGAATACATAACCTTTTAATTCAGTTTAAAAATTACAAAGTTAATCATTTTA